GCCACATTGCGATGACAATGAATGCGTCACGTTTTTGACCATTTCGACTTCAGTTGGGTAAGCTGAAAACAATTCGATAAACAGGACCCGAGAATCAAACTACTCAAATCGACTCCCAAAACGTTTCAGTTAGGATTTCGACTACTTTGTGGTTTTATAAGCTGAAAGAAACTACTCAAAATTGATGGATTAGTAAATTCAACGTTTTTTGAAAGCACCGAAACAGCTTTCAAGCAACGCATTAAATCATTATTTGATGGGAAGCAAATTTCCGCTACAAATTCAGTGTATACTCCATTTCGAAAGAATGAAATTCAACTTGTTTTTCACGATATGTGGGGCAGAACTTCTTCAAAAGAAAGGATATGAGCTCTCCCGATTCTTCCCAATTCGAAATTTGTTTCTCGTCTCGCATTTGATATTTGAACGAAATACGCATCTCAGCAGCTCATTTCAATGACTAACGTGAAATTTTTGCAGATGAAGAGATCGTGACGTTGGCTAGTAGATCTTTTACCGAATCGGGTAGAAAATGTATGATCAGTGGAAGAAACGGACCAAGAATACTTGCACTCGTATACCGCTTCTGAAACGATACGATCAATCGTCATCATCACGGCTGTTCACAAATCGCAAATTTCTTTTCAAATCAAACAAAACAATGGCTCTCTTCGTTTGTCTCCGGCTGGCCGAATGCGCAAATTCATTTTAGTTATTTGAAAAATATTATTATCTCGAAAAGTATCCCTCAACAAATAACTGAAAAAAGTTCTATCCCTGTGTCATCCAATAAGCGTGCAAGGAGTGTTGCACTGCAACTGTATGGAACGAATTCAAGAAGTTTCCATTTCACCATACCTGTACCTTCCTCATGATTGAGTCAATTTGTGGCGTTGATGGCGCATAGGCGATTTCCATGTCGATATTGAAATGAAACGGATCCGATGGATCTGTGCTTACGTTCAGAAACATACAGTCGTTATTGCTATGCAATTTCAACAGATATTTTAGATCGATTATTGTACCCTGAATCAACCTTTACACTTCATAAACCAAACATAATCGAAACACGAAAAAAACTCACAAAAATCTGTCTTACAGCCACAAACGATTTTGAAGACATTTTCATTTGAATAGATTTAATTGCAGTGCAAAATTAGACAAAAAGGTAGCATTGGTACTGCAGAATGTGATGTGTTGAACGGATTGAAATTCCNTATGCCCGTGTAAACGTATTTTCAGCGAGCAAAACAACGGATTGAATGAAGAGAGACAGTGCTAACCGATAGGTTTTTAGGATTTGTTGGCATGATAAGATCAAGTGCATTACCCTCAACGAGCCATGCGGGATATTCAGTTGCATTGTACGATTTCTCATATCTGTCTTTCAACTGAAAACATTTCATTCAGATATTGTTGTTTATCTTGAATTGAAGATTGAATATTGACTTGATTCAGTCACTGGCACATTTAGTAGAAAGACAGTAATCTTAGACATGTCCATTGAAGAGAGGGCATTGCAATAACGCTTGGAACTTTGAAAAGTTAATTCCAATTCTTATTCTCGGTACAAAACCCTTGAACTTCTCATGATCTGACAACAACTTCCAAAACATGCTATTGCATGTATTTTGATGTATTGAAAGATGAGGAAGAATTTCTGTTCCGATTTGCATACATGACACGCGCATAATTACCTGCAAGAGCAGAGACATCGTTCATGCTTTATTAAATGGCAAATTTCAGTGCGTAAAACAACATCTCAAGTCACTTACTCCGATCATCAGACCAAAAGTAAGCGCTATGAGGATCAGTGGTATCACCAACTCGAGCAACGTGAACCATGGTGAACGAATTTGTTGCAGCAGATTCTTCCATAATAAAAGTTTCAGCTGCGATATCGCTTTCATTCTGACCTGCAGCAGCTAGAAAACATTTTGATACTCACTCGTGATAGAATCATGGCCGTCTGGCTACTATGTAATCCAAACAATCAGTGACATTCACATTCATATCACATTCACACTCTTCAACACCTGACATTCGCATTGACCTAAGCACTTTCTGAATGATCGAATACTGGTCAGAAAAACAGATCTATTGCAGCCCGAAGATGTGAGA